TGACTGGAGCGACACCAGCAGCACTTCCATTTTTCCCTATCGCGGCAAGAGTGCCCAGTGGGTCATTTTGCTGTAAGAATTCGTTGAGCATCAAATCTTTCTTCTAGTCTTTTTGCAAAAAAATCGGACCATGGGGTCGGTGGTCTTCCTATAAAGCGCTTGATATGCCAAGGAGTCCGGTCGGTAACGGCTCTCGTTCATCGGTTGTCGTTGAAGCGCATCACTTGTCCGGCCCACATTATTTCTATATCCTGGCGTGTAAAACGGCGTCTCTGATCTTCGATCGTTGACGTAGGTCAGGACTTTGGATCCTTTCTCTTATTTGTGTGATATGAAATACTACTGGCATCGACCTTTCGACTGCGCGGTCAATAACGCTAAGTGGTCTTTCATCGTGCTTGCGTAGCGACCAGGTTTCACCTGCATATGTCAGGGAAGGGATAATTGTCGAGTCGAAAAGGTGGACACGGAGTCGGATGTTCTTAGTCCTGTTCACTACATCCTCAATGCTCTTAAACGTTACCCAAGCCGCTTGTTTCTTCCTGCTCAACTCTGGCGCTAAGTCGTTCAATATGTTGATTTCACGACCCAAATAGACGTAACTGGAGCATTCGGAGATGATCGTTTCGTTGAGCGTGAATGGGGCATACATAACCCATCCGTCTCTCATATAAAAATCACAGTGCTAAAAATAGCAGCAAATCTTCTCGTAGGAACATAAAGTCTGAGCGCTTGAGGTTGCTGAAGCATTTTGGATGAAGTTCATCAATCCATGAACCGCAGAGAGGACGTTGTCGCTATTGCAGTGCTGTGATAAAGAATATAGGGGACGGTTATTTGATGTCGAAGGTGCCTTAGCAGTCCGTGTGATCTCTGTACGGTTGCTCTCCACTTGTACAACTGTGGAGAGCTCACAAAAGCTGAATATTGCTTTATACATATTGAGATTGAAATCTAGGTCTGGTGATGCTTCTCTGAGAAGTAATGGAGGTGTTTGACTATTTGTGTTGTGGACAACCTAATCTTTCCAGGTTTCGCAAAAGGCGAAATTTTCAAAGCGTAAGTGGTCAGAACAAAATGTAATAAATGAAAATCTCTCCAATGGTTCAAAAAGAAACAATTAAGATTTATTGGAGAATGAATGTTGAGGGGTTAGTCATCTTAGGAGCCTTTACCTTATCTGATAATTCCAATATCTCACTAGTGTTCCAATCAGTGAAAACTCGTCAACGAATCTTCATCATCATCCCGGGCGGTACAACAACAAGTGCTGTGATACAGTTTTCCATCACTCCTAAAGTGCACTTCAGGGTGCATATCAAACCAGGAAAATAAATGTAACTTTTCAGAAATGAGAACACTAGTAAAATTGTGCGGAAAAATGAACACAACAAGTGTTACTTTTCAACTTCATTCCCACAGTTTTAGTATAGAACAAGACAATATATTTAACACAGTCGTCTTCCAATGTCTACTATACATGTTATACTTCACTCTTTTCCAATGTAAAAGCATTCGAGATCATTTTGGCCACATTTATTCTGCTTGTCATTAATCCTTTTATTTAAGATTTCTTACGTTTTTACTGCTTTCGCAGTGCTATGATGTATGAGCTGTATCACCTGTCGTCCCGTTGATCGTCGAGTGACTCGAGCAGGTACTGGCAGCACTTCCAATTTTCCCTATCGAGTGCAAGAGTAGCACAGTAGGTCCACCTCGCTCTAGGGATTCGTTGAACATCATATCTTTTTTCTAGTGAAGAGATCGGACCAAAGTGCCTGTAGTGTCCCTTCATACATACCTAAAAGAATTGAGTGGTGAGCGAAACTCGACCTCAGACGGGTGTTGGTCCGCGTTTCAACCATACCGGGGTCCGTGCTAACGCTATACCACCGAGATACCGCTTCGCCACCACTTATACTTCAAATTTACCACCAATGTATAACAGGCATGGTCGAGTAAGCAATATCGTTCTATAAATCCAGTTAAGCTGACAGCCACTGTAAAGTGTGGTAACTTTTGCTCACCACTCAAGTCTTAGGTAAATATGAAACATCTTTTTATTCTATAATCTTCTGCTATCGGGGATGCTACGATCACATAATTATTTCTTTATCCTGCTTTAGTCGTTAAACACTTATCGACGAATTTAGAATCATTATAACCAGCATAACTTTATGTGCTTTGATACGATTGTCTAGTATCCCTGAAGTGTACTTCAAGGTGCTGCCCCACAGTCTTCATCAACAACAACAATCACTGGACATTCTGTAAGATTCAAAGCTCAAAGCATATTGTAGTACTGATAAATGAAAATAGAGAAAACTTGCCTTAATTAGCAGGCACGAGGTTGGTAAACAACTTAATTAATTGGGACAAGTTTTCTCGATTTTCATATATCAATTAATTATGCCAAGGTTTATAAATAGTCGAACTTTTGAGTGATTGTATAATTGTTTATTTCAAGTGTTTCAGTACAATTTTTATAACGAAAACAGGCAATATCATACACGCAGCATCTAACAATGAATTAACAGAAATGAGGTGATCAAACTTTCCTTAGAAAGCGCTCGTTCTTTGCTTGAATGGGAAGATGAGATATCACTGTAACTTTCATGATGTCGGGCCTCCTCCATTGTAAAAACCCATTACGAACCGTCCTGAAGTGTGGAGACATGGTCCTATATCGCAAATCATTCTGTTATCTAACAAACAACCTAAAGACAAGCAATTAGAACTTTATTTGAGTTGTTCAGCCTCAGAGCACCATTCTAAAGCACTCCGTCTAGGAACAACGGGCCATTACACTTTGTTCAAGAGACATTTCCTTTCGGGTTTAGCAGTAGTCTGCAGAGTAGCACAAATTTTTGTCTTTACAAATCTGCCAGAATTTTTCAGCATAGCTATTATAGCACACTTTAGCATCAGAGTTATCATTTGATCACAAAAACGGCAAAGAGCTCTCTCAGGCGAGCAAATCGGCCTAAAGTTTGTGTTTCGCAGTCAATATTTGCGCTTATTAGAGTACTGAGGTATTGGGTCGGTGTTAAAATTAATGTCGATTTAGGTATTGTTTGAAGTTTGCCGTTTGATAGTGGGAAAAATTTCAGAAAAATGCGCTTAGGTTTACATAATTTCAATGCGCATTTCTCGCTCTTTGTGTTGTTGCTAATGACGTTTTACTTGCTGTTCATTTGATATCTATTAGACTATGTAAATGATGCTGGTTGGTGCAAAAGTAACTGCGGTTTCAGATTATGAGCTAATAATGGATCATAAAACAACAAAGAAAACACGCAACATGAACAACGCATTTGGCCTAAAAACTACTTACAAACATTCAGCTTTGTAATGGTTCAAAAAGTTTCGTATAAAAGACGCTTTATAACAATGAATAAATCACTATCTTTTTTCTATCATCCTCATCAGAAGTCATGGGAAAGTGTTCATCGAATCTGAGTCTTATAATACTATAAGAAATTGTAGAAAAACTTCGCGCTGAATATTTTAGTTTTTTTGCCATTCGAATAATTCGGAAAGGTAAAAAATTTTAGTACAAAACTAATTACGGTTTTGTGCACCTCGAAAGCCCGTTGTACAGCGATCGCTTCAATAATTAGGAAGTTATACCTCATCATTCATATTTGGTAGATTTCGTACCCATCGACTAATGATTCTTCAAGCATCTCGACAACTTCTTACAGGGTAAGCAATTTCACAACTAGCTAGATGCAGAAGAAGCTTTGCAAGATTTCGTCAGACCCCAACCCACCAATTTTTACCACAGAAACAAGCAAATTGATTTTACTTTGGAAAACCTATTAATTATAATGGTTTTCTCTTGGTTATTGAAGAATTGCTCAATTCTAGTTATATTCATTTTGAGAATCAGTCTGTACCCGACATAACTTTCGTACCACACTATTACAAACAAAAGTTGATCTTTAAGAAAGCACCGAACTTGGGATTGTGTCTACAATTGCTCACGCGCTCTCCATTACGCTATTTGGAGCTCTTGCTTGCCTTTCTCTAGCCACGTATATACTCCAGTTAACCTATGCCTGTGGTCAAAATTACAATGTTCTGGCAATTTATCTACACCCAATCTTTCTTTCATGACCAGGTATCGTGTCAAATCTAATCACAAGGATATTGAGGTATGAGCACAACTTAATTAGTAAAAGAAGAGCAATGCAGTCTTGCGTCTCTTAGATCACTACCTTTGTCGGGAAATTGCTGAGAGCACCGTGAGACTCAAAACTTGGTTGAGAGAAAGGTAAAGTCTCGATCGACCTGGTGGATAACACGTGAGCCCACAATGAAAGAAATCATGATTTCAAAGTCCACGATGATTTGAGATTTTTTCTCACATCTCACCATTCTTGTGATTTCGATTCACAAAATACTCTGCCATGCGGAGTAAATAGGCAGGGGATCAAAGCTAAGGCATTGTGATGATAAACATGTACGGGTCTCAACTTGAAATTATTCAAGTTCAAAATTTAGTCTTTCATGTAATCCTGCCACTGCTCATATGATGACGAAAAGATCAAGGACTGCTGACAAATCTTCATTATATCAACAATGCTATTTGTGACCGACAAGATGGTCATACAAGATGAGATTAACAGGAATGCTTCCACACACCTATCCCACCAGTAGTCAGAGAACATGAGGAAGATTTATGGGATATTCTGAGACATTGTTAGGGAATTGCAATTAGAAATACGTTGCAGTATACAGAAGAGCTTGGAACAAAATTCGGTTGCTGAAGGAATTATCAATGTTCGTAATACGTAGTAGTGATTATGCAAACTGTACTATTTGACACATTAGATATAAAATTCTCTGCAAAAAACATTCTTCTGTTTCCCGACTGTCCCACGTAACACACCTGAGAGAATTGAGTGGTGAGCGAAAATGCGACCTCACGGGAGTCGAATCAGCGTTTCATCCGTACAAGGAAGCGTGCTACTGCTGACGAGTGGTGGTACAAATGTACCTCGGTGGTGTAATGGTAGCACGCGGTCCCAGTATGGATGAAACACGAGCTCGACTCCCGTCTGAGATCGTATTTTTGCTCACCACTCCTAGGTGTCTCTTCTTTCGAATGTTTTCTTGAAACCACTGCTCGTGTTTCAATAAGCCTGATAATTATTTCTGAGCCACGCATGTCAGTGGTCTGTTAAGTGGGCTGATTTAGATAGCCCGATACAAGTGTTTTCGATCTGACGATCACGGCAGTCGAGCAGTTAACCTTTTGCCTGTTTTTGCCAATCCTATGTGGGTGCTTCAGTCCCCACACTGAGAATTAGCGACGGCGAACTTTTTATACTTGATGTCCAGTGAAATTATCACCGAACAAGAGTGTTGTACACTCGATTGCTCTCGGCTAGTATATTTAATATATCATATTTTTCGTCTCGAGTGTTTTCTTAAAACCACCGCTCAAATTTCAATATGCCTGATAATCATTTTTGAGCCACGCATGTCAGTAGTCTGCTAAATGGGCTGACTTATAGAGCCCGATACAGATATTTCTTAGGTGTTTTGAAAACATCGTACCACTGCGAAAAATGCAATCGAAACCTTAGAAATCGTGACTATTACATATCTCACGTAAGACGAACAATCCGGAGAGTGTTTATAGGACTGCGGAATGCATGTAAAGGTCGAAGATGGTTGAAAGTAGGTAACATTATCAAATTCTGTCGAAAGATTCTCTTCCTTTCTAAAACGCTGCTTAAAAGCAGCGCTGATAAGATTTGTCAGCAGTTCTCATGCAGAAACTACGCCGAACGTTGTTAAATTCAAATCTCGTGGATATCAAGCTACACCAAAAAAATTTTCTCAGCAATTTTCCATCATCTTACCACAACAAAAACTCTTTTCAAAGCGTCAGATTTCATTGTTCAATCAGAGGCAAATCTTTTCGACGTAGCCGGCCACAATCTCCGTCTAAAGGCAAATCTTCCCATCATAACCGACCACCAACTCTGTTATGCATACTCTCTTCAACAGTAGTTGTCTCCTGCCACAAAACGGACTCACAGATTAAGATTTTTGCAGATTTCTAAGTGAAGACTACTGTCAAGTTCGCGCTCAAACTTCATTTAGTACGTTATGCCTTAGATAATTTCATTACGGCCTACTTTCTGTTCTCTCGGTTCTTTGTTTTCATAACACGGAAAACTGAAAAAATGCAGATCAGTAGCATCCTTACTATCAAAAATATAGCGCGTAATAAATGAAAACACCTCTTTACAAAATACTTAGATTCTTACTTAGATGTATACCAATCTCACATAAATTCTATTAGAGAAAAACAGCTTATTGTATTACTGAATTGTATCTAAGACATATTGTATGAGCAGTGTTGAGTGAGTAAAACATGAACTACTTGCTTATGTATGATGTCATTTATCGAAGATGAAATAATATACGTACCTGTTCGTTATTAATAATGATATAGGCGCTGAGCCGAATCGAAGAATAACGAGTATATTGAAGACGTGAAAATACAGTGGAGTGTTGGATAGAGGAAAGTACCAAAAATATAGCAATACACCAGCGAACATTAGCGTTTGGAAGGAATGAAACAACAGTGGCAGCTCGACATTGGAGGAAATGCTGGATTTTCGCTGAAATAAAAATAGCAACAGAGAATTATCTCCTTCCACATGATCTAGTGCTAAAAAGTGAAAGACAAAGAATCAGAGGATGTGTCCTCCACGAAGGCATTTGATAAAGCAGACGTACATTGTACACTAAATAAACTATGGCGATGGTGTAGATGATGAAACATATACTGACATTGAGCTCGCTAATATACAGGTCCACAGATCGGACGAACACCGCAATGAGTGTTGTCTCATCTGTAAAAGCTCGAAAGACCGACTTTTGCAAACTTCGGCACGTTAATAATAAAAAACTGTGGAAATGAGAAGACTAACTCAAGAACTGATTTTTATTTTAAACTTTACGAAGTTGGTATCTTTTTCCCAATCGATTGTCCTTCTTTCAGATCGATAGACTTTCTTGGTTGCTGATGGCTGACGTTTTGGCAAATATGCCTTCTTTCTAAAGACGTCTTTCTAAAGAAGGCGTGTTCGCCGAAACATCAGCCACAAGCAACCAAGAAAACCCAGGGACAGAAAAGAAGGATAATCGATCGGGAAAAATATACCAACCTCGTGAAGCTCAAAATAAAGATTAGTTCTTGAGCTATTCTTCTCATTTTCATCTGCAAAAGTTTGCTACAGATGAAGATAGAATTAAACGACAGCCTGTAGTACTTGTGCGACGACGTCAGTGTATATAAGAATAATTTTAAAGGGTTCGAAACTGGTACAATTTGTCAGAGCTGTTTATCTAGTGTTTCAATGTCTGACTTGTAAATTTGTTAACGCTTATGCAACTTCTCTATATAGGCCACTCTTTCTTATGACTTATTTCGGCACATCCTTTCTCTAGGCTTCTTGTAATTAGAGATTAGCTAATCCGACCGGATGTTATGACGGGTGCTGACCATGAAAGGTTCGTCTTGCACTAGAGATTTAGAGATAAACATTTTTTGAACTGGCTCATGACATATAATTTCATTGACAATTGACTGTTTATTCAATGCTAATCTGATGATTAGCTACCTATGGACCGAAGAAGTGTAAGGTTATAAAAACAGACTCAACATAAGCTCTAAAACAACTGTCAGTAATTTACTTGTGCGTTGGACCATACCACTGTATAGTACGCAAGAATATATAGAACATTTATATTTATGAAGCATATCAGAGCAAAGTCTCTTGCGTGACTATGTCATCTTCTTATACCCAAACATGTGGCTATCAAAATATCGTCGTTTATCACATTTTTCGAAACTAAATCTACTGCCCACCTTAATTTGTCAACGCTAGAGGGCGATGTGAAATATTTATCACAACATAAGTGATGTAAGAGCAACACTTGAAATCTGATGATTGTGTAATGGACTCGAAGCGAACAAAGTATGAAGAAAGCAGTAGATAAAGTTATCATTTGTAATTTAAGCCGCGGCTTCAGCTTAAATGACGTCAATTATTACTTTGTTCTTTCTAGATTAATCCCATTCATGTGAGCAGTCAGAAATAGTCATACCGATTTGAGTCCATAGGACAAAAAATCTTTTCTCAAGGCTTACTTCTAACTCAGAATTCTTGCGATTGTATTGCACTTTATATTCAAAAACAGGCAAGTTAGTTCGGACATTACTAGGAAGCCGTCCCATTTTGAGACCAACGAGATTCAACTACCGTTGCGTGAGTGTTTAAGTGGCGAAAAGAGTCATGTTCATACTCCACCGCACTTATATTCTAACAACTTGGAAAGTTTTTCCAAAGTCTTTTTGTAAATTAGTTGTCCGATACAAATAAGCAGAGAACTGACTTGTAAAATACATGGCTGGTATTTGAGGATCCCATAATGTTTTAACTTCTCCGCTTAGAAGAAGAGCACCGTTGAAAATACCGAAAAGTAAGCACGTCACTAGCATTATCTGAGAGCATAAAAAATTATTTTTCCCAGCAGTTCAAAGTGCTAAAAAATTGCGCTTTAGGTAAAGAAAAACGAAAAATCGTACATTTGTTCCCCTCTTATGAAAAATCAAATCTAGCTTCTTGGGAAAAACTATGGCAACAAGTCGATTGACGGCAAGAATAAGGATCATTGGAAATTCCACATCGTAGGTGACTTGAAAGAGTGTACCCAGCAGCTAAATTAACCTTTATTGATACACGAGAATGAGAAAAAAACGGCAAGAAAAGGAGAAAAAATTGATCTTTCGCTTTTTTCTTTGATTCCGAACGAGATACGTGATTGAGCGTAACAGCAAAATTATGGTGTATCAAAATCAACTATCCATGGAATTAGCAATCTTATTTGGTAAATATGGATTTCCTAACTCAATGAACAATTTCTGAATATCTATTTGAATAGAAGGACTATAAACCTTACCCAGTTTGCTGTTGGATGAATGACAGGAGTTTGAATAGTAGCAGCCACTAAAATGACTTGAACACCACAATTCAGAGCATCAGCGGCAGAGCCATAGAAGATGAAACGATAAGCGGAACGTCTCCATAAAAGGGTGGATCGTCGAACAACCTTCAGATTATGTCAGATACTTCAGATAACCAATGAAGAGCCAGTCAATGTGACATAAACTTTTCTTTTGCTCATTCTTTTTTTTTGTTTTTTTTTTCGTTTTTCTACTTGTGTATTGCAAAAGTAGAGACTACGGTTAGATGTGGTGTTTTTTTGCTTCTAATTTATCTCAAAGTAGGAAACGACTTTTGAATACAGCATACCTGCATTACCCGCAAATGCATCAACATTAGAATAGATCCCAAGAGTACGTAAAAAATAAAGAAATAGGTACGAAGCGGATAGACGTTATCGCTCATACCGTTCACTTGAATAGGTGCTGAAAATGGCAATGTTCCTAGAACCATGCTTGTTGTATCGTCGAAAAACTGAATCACCTAGATGTGAAATCATCTCCATGTAAAGTACAGTGTATTTAAAGGTCTCCTGATTGCCCAGCTATGTGAAAGGTCATATAACGTGCTTCATTCGTTAGAATTCAAAATGTGTTTGAAGCGACATGGTTCATGTAAATTACAATTTCAGCTGCTGCTTTCAAACACTTCAATACTTTACAAGGAATGCACCTTGGCAACGAGACCACTCTACTAAGAGCTACTATTTGCCCAAAGTAGTGTCAATTTTGCTCTGAAATTTTTTCCTTTTTCTAGCCTTACAAAGACTGAATTTTCAAAATAGATAAGTAGTAACAACGTGACAAAATGAAAGACGGGAAGAAAGTATCACCGCGAACATGCATGCTAACATGAGCGATTACATTTATTCACATTTGTAGTCGCTATGCTCATGCGTACATTTGTTCAGCCCACAAAACACCTAACGGCATTGGTTTATAGTCTTATGTATTGTTAACCATTCCAAAAGTACTTCAGCCGTCAGAGACAGATGGTTAATGTACCAGGTCTGAGTTGTATTTCGAATCGATTCTGGACA